CATGTCTTGGACTGGTAAAACTGAAAAAATCGAAACGCTCGGGGAATTTGAGAATAAAAGTCGATAGCTTTTCTATTCTGCACATAGTCCCGAATTTCAATTGTTGACACCCTGATACATGCATCTCTTGTAGTTCTTCACTTGCTAATAAATAACGCATCATTGGTTTTGTTTACTAAAAAAACAATAAAAGGAATACACTAACTTTATGGTGTTTAAATTCTGAGAAATGAAATGAATTAAAAATCAGTTCAGTAGGAATTTGAGAATCGATAGGCAATCAGCATAGCAGTTCAATCCATTGCCTGATCCAAGAACACTAACGACCGGCGTTCAGTTAACCCATTCATTCTATTATGGGTATAACTGTAAGCTCTTGAGAATAAATTTATTCATACTGTGCCCGGTAATTAGGTTCTCATCTACCCCGGGTAATCCAGACTGTAAAATAAACACCAATAAACAAGGCTGATTGATCACCGGTGGAAAATAAATAATCCCCATATACCTGGTCTACTTGTGTGTAGGAAGAGACCTCTACAACCAGACTGGTTGGAGGCATGCAACTGCAAATACGTGATGGGCGTAAATTGGCCTACGTAACCATGCGTATTTTTGGGTCCCACATTCAGAATCGTTTTCCTGCGACGCAATAGGCCATCCATGTGTGTGTGTGTGTGTGTGTGTGCGTGTGTGTACGCGTGTGTTGGGGGCTATCGGTATACATCACCTAAAACCACTACTTCTTTGTCAACGGCATTCTGGACCTTTTACCCAGGTCACCACAAAGAATAACAACATCGAAGCAAACAGAGAATCGGACATCTATCCCCTCCCCGGCGTCTGTTTTGACTTCATGCTCGACAAGGGTGCTATATATGATTTGTTCTGAAATCATTGTAAGAAGATACATTCTGTGCTTGCGTGAACCGATCGCGTGAACACGCATCAGCCGGCCGGCCGGTCACGTCCGAGTCGAGTCACTGCGTGTCAGTACCCGTGCAGTCAGTCACGCATTCCGTCTTGCCCCACTCGCTTACATCTGTGCGTCGGGTTGGGGCAATCCGTAACATGGTACAACCGACTCAGTATGTAGGATATTTTCGATGTACGTGTAGAATGCAACAAACAAGAAGAATTGTTTATTTGCACACGCAAACACAGACAGATGTGTGTGTGTGTGTGTATGTATGTATGTAGGTACACATACACACACGCACGCACGTGAAGGCGATCCGTAGCGTGCGACTGTCACGACCCGCCACATCATCATCATCATCATCGTCATATCCTCCTCTCACTCGTGCCGTTCTTCACATCATCCGTAAGAAGCACGGAACAACCGCCAGTGGTATATCGA